AGCAAAACCTGTCAAGGCGAGTGGCGAGGACACGGCTTCTGGGGCCCTGCGAGGAGGGTCTGCGCAGTTCTGGGGGGCAGGGCCCCATCGGGAGCGGGGACGGGGGTTCTGGGTTCTAAGTCACACTTACAAAAGCCTTCCAATTCCTTATGCTGGAAATATATTCTAGCATATTCTAGGGAGGAGCACCTGGACGCTTCCATCCATTGAGCATCCCACTCTTGGTCTCACCATCCTGAGTTTCCAGCCCTGTTGGGCTCTGTGCTGGGCATGGAGCTTGCTTAAGAAAGAAAGAAAAAGAAAGAAAGAAAGAAAGAAAAAGATTCGTTGTGTTTTTCTTGTTTTAATGACGTTATGACTCACAGCTGCCATAGAATCCATCTGGATCTTACTTTGCCTGGACGCAGCCCACGGTCCCCCTGCTGGAACTTAACCTCCCTCCTGTGCTGGACACCTCGCTTTCTGGGGGACCCCGGACTCTGGGCTGTTCCATTTCTGAGCCTGCGCCACCCTGTGTGAGCGGTCAAGACCTCGGGGGACAGTTTCATGCCTCGGAAGAAACCCCCTGGCTGTGGTCATCACTCCTCTACGTGAAGTGCAGAGGAGAGTCCTCCTATTGTCCCCAAACCCCAGGGCCCAGAGCACAGGCACCCTGAGCCCCCCATGAACAGAGACCCTCCTTTCCAGATGGGGTGGTGAGAGCAGGTGGGGTGGCTCAGCATGTCCAGAAGGAAAATGAACATTGCAAACTGTCCTGGAAGCTTCTAGAGACCCAGGAGCAGCCCGGAGCACCCGCATGGATGGCCTGGCCTTGGTGTTCTTCCTCCTGTGCAGATCAGGTGTGGAGTGGACAGCATTTAAACTGCTAGGGAGCCTGTCGTCACCCTGGGTGCCTCTTGGCCGCCCTGTGCCCATCAGCCTGTGTCCAGCTCCCCCATCTCCACTGCTGACCCTGCTGCTCTGGAGGCTGGGGCTGGACCCACACGGAGGGTCCGCTGGGTTCCCGGCAGCCAGTGCTGTGGCCTCAGAGCACCTGCTGCTCCCATCCCTCCCCCTCCCCCCTGCTCTCCCTTTCTGTCCAGGGAGGAGGTCACCCCTGAGGCTCCCGTGACCAGAAGCCTTGTCTCTAGATCAAATTTCCCCAGAAAAGGGAAACATGCCACATTTCAACTGACAATTGCCAACCTTCCCCCACCTGAAAGGGCACAGTTCCCTGTGTCCCCAGAGCCCAGGTGAGGAGCCAGCAGATGGGCCCTAGAGCCTGCAGAGGCAGGCCTGGCCTGGGTCCCTGAGCCCCCAACCAAAGCCCTGTGACCTTGGGCTCCAGATACCATGAGGGGTCACAGAGAAGGCCCTCCCTCCCTGGGAACTGTTGAACAGCCTCCTGGCCCGATCTGAGGCACACTAGGCCCATGGACGTGCCTGGCCAGAGTCTGTCCTGGTCAGGGGACAGGGGAACTGGCCCGTCCAGTTGATCCATGGGGATGATGGCCACGGCGGCGCCGTCCGCCTCCCGAGGGCCCTGCGGGGCCCCTTCTCACCCACCCCCCTGGGCTCCCTGTGCTCAGAAGCCAAGGCGCCATGGCCCGGGGGGGGAGGCTCCAGCCGCGGCCGCCCAGCCCTCCCTGAGCAGCCCCGTCCTGACGCCAACCTCAGCTGGTGTGCACACGGCCTGCCCCGCCTCACAGACACTTGCCTCTGAGAGGCAGTCGAGGTCACGAGTGGCCAGGGCACCGGAGCAGCTGCTCTTTTATTATGAAACGGCACATGCCCAGGGGGAGCACGTGCGGGGAGGCTGCGGGGTCGGGAGCCCTCTGGCTCTGCAGGGGACACGTGCACGAGTGTCCAGAGCAGCTCTGCCCGGTTCGGGAAGAGGCGGCCGCGGCTCACAGCCTGTGACCCATGGGCACACCCGCAGTCGGGTGGCCCCACAATGAGGACTCCGCTCTAAGTAGGAACAGGGTGCTGACCCCAGTACAACGTGGGTGAGTGGACCTCTGTGGCCCACTGACTCCTCACGGGGTGGCCTCGTCCACTTGGCTGAAAGCCTTAGAGCGAAACACGGCGGTTTCCCAGGAAAGCAGGGCTTCCACCCCCGAGGCTGCAGCGCGAACACCCCAGCCTCCAGCCTGGGCTCCCTGATTGCACAGTCAGTCCTGAAAAGAAATCCCGTGTCCTCGGTGGCCTATTGGTTTGGCTTCCCTGGGGCACCCCTGCTGGCGGCTGGGTTGGTGATGGTTGCACCGCCCTGTGAACTGACAGGTGGGTGCCTGTGTCCCTGAGCAAGGACGGCCCTGAGGGCTCGGAGCTCAGTTCTGGCCCCTGCACATTCCAGCTGGGCGACCCCTCTCCCTGGGACTCCCCCCTCACACCCGGGACCCCCCCACCCTCCGGCTGGGCGACCCCTTGCCCTGGGACACCCCCCACCTGCAGCCCGCCCACTCTGGTCCAGGCCCTTCGAGCCCCCTCCAGCTCCTGCCCCGGCTCAGGCCTCCTGGAACCCTCAGGGGCCTCAGGACCTTGGGGGGGGTGGGGGGCTGCAGGCAGGGGTCCCCTTGCAGGAACCAGCCTGGCCTCGGAGCAGGCAGGGCGGCCTGGGGGGGCCCGGAAGCCCGACTGTGCCCCACAGGTTGTGGGTCTTGGGCCAGACGAGGCCTCCATGGATCTCCCGGCCTCCACGGAGGGGCCCTGGGGCGAGGCTGTGAGTGGGGCCAGGGAGGGGGGGCTGCACCCGCGTGGGGCTGACTGCGCCCTACAGGAGCCCCCACGATGTGTGAGAGGAGGGCGTCTGTGTGTGCCCCGGGCCTAACAGCTCCGGCTCTGAAGCACAGGGGAGGGGGTCGGCCAGGACGGGGCTGGGGTGCAGTGGGGGGGACAGGGGGGACGGGGGAGGGGTGGGCCAGGGCGGGTCACCTGGGACTGGGGCAGGATGACGATGACGCTGCAGGTAAGGCCAGTCGGGAAGGCAGTGGGGGCGCCCTGGGGCTGTGGCCCCCGAAACTTGCTGCCCTGCACCTACCTGTGCCCTGCCGCCCGCGGGGAGTCGGGCCACCCCAGATGCCCCTGCTGCTGCCCTCACCTTGGCAAAGTAACTCCCTGGAGCTTCTGGGTGGCTCGGGTGGTTGGGCGTCTGACTCACCCTCTCACTTCAGGTCTCGATTTCAGGGTCGTGGGTTCAAGCCCGTGTTGGGCTCTGTGCTGGGTGTGGACGCTACTTAGAAAAAAAAATTTTAAATTTCAGAGAGCCTGGGTGGCTCCCCCGGTGAAGCATCTGCCTCCAGCTCAGGTCAGTCCTGGGATCGAGTCTGGCTTCAGGCTCCCTGCTCAGTGGAAAGTCTGCTTCTTCTGACCCTCCCCTACTTGTGCTCTCCCTCTCAAATCTTTAAAAAAAAAAAAGGGACGGGGAGCTCTGGTGGCTCAGTGGTTTAGTGCTGCCTTGGGCCCAGGGCGTGATCCTGGGGACCTGAGACAAAGTCCCACATCGGACTCCCTGCATGGAGCCTGCTTCTCCCTCTGCCTCTCTCTCTGTCTCTCATGAATAAATAAGTAAAATATTAAAAAAAAAAAAAGAAGAAGAAAAGAAAGGGACGCCTGGGTGGCTCAGTGGTTGAGCATCTGCCTTCCACTGAGGGCGTGACCTCGGAGTCTGAGGATAAAGTTCCACATCAGGCTCCCCACAAGGAGCCTACTTCTACCTCAGCCTCTCTCTGTGTCTCTCATGAATAAATAAATAAAATCTTTATTTTTTTTAATTTTAATTTTTATTTATGATAGTCACAGAGAGAGAGAGAGAGAGATGCAGAGACACAGGCAGAGAGAGAAGCAGGCTCCATGCACCGGGAGCCTGACGTGGGATTCAATCCTGGGTCTCCAGGATCGCACCCTGGGCCAAAGGCAGGCGCCAAACTGCTGCGCCACCCAGGGATCCCTAAATAAAATCTTTAAAAAAATCTTTTTCAATTTAAAAATATTTTTAAAATGTAACTTCCTTAGTATCATTCCAAAATACGGTGCAAAAAACATTCTCATGTGCGGATGAACAGGGGCTGCAGGGACACTTTGGGGGGGGTTCTGGTCTTCAAAGCTGGGGGCTTTTTAGCACATCCTAAAATTAGGATGTGGGAAGCAGAGTCCCCAGGTGTGGGTCAAGGTACACACTTCAGGCCATTCCCTTCCAAAAGCGTTTGGGGTCTTAAGCGGGACCGACAGCCCCAGACCCCACGTTTAGGGGCCACTGGCAGGGGCAGCAGTTCTCTATGGGCCCACGCATTAGGATCCTGGTGGGGCCTGGATGGTTCTCAGTCTGACTTGCAGCCGAGGCTAAGACCGGCCTAGGGGTGGGGGCCGGGCCCCAGTACAGAGTGCGCAGGCTGCTGGGGCGGGGAGAGGCCTAAAAACCCTTCTCCGGGGCTGAGGGCAGAGTCTGGTGGCCACCGTGTGCCCAGGAGACATGAGACAAAGTCCTGTGCCATGAAGGGGTGTGATCCCACCGCCCCCAGTTCCTGCCCCACTGCACCATCGCCCAGTTGCCCCCTCCTCCCCGAGCAAGGTGGGGCTGGTCTTCCCCTACCTTGCCCACAAGGTTTGAGGCCCCACACCGTAGGGCCTGGTGCAGGCTGGATGGCACCTGCCCACCAGGTCAGGACAGTTGGACCAGCCTCCAAGGTTATTCGCGTCCTCCCAGCCACCCAATGCTCCTCCTTTTGCCTCCTTGTGCCCTTCCTCGTCTCCCCACCCCTCGACATCCCATCCCCACTGCTGAGGCAGGACAGGGGTGCAGAGCTCAGGCTTTATTGTTCTAATGCTGATGCCGCCCAGAACAGAAGAGCCACGGGGGGAGCTGGGGAGGTCAGGAGCAGGGGCGGTTATGGGTGCCACAGCCAGGAGGGGAGCGTGCCGCCACGGGTGGCAGCAGGCACGCACGGCTACTGCTGTGGGCGGTGAAGACTGTGTGTGCCGTGATCTTCAGGAGCTGGTTCTGGGCCTGAGCCTCCCACGGACCCTCCTCAAGGGCCCGGCAGTGGGGCTTCCGGGCTGCTGAGGCTGATGCTCCTTTTGATGCAGAAAGGAGAGCAGGAAAGTTTCTGGAAGAAGACTAAGTAACGGGGCTGATGGGCTAGGAGGGGCTCGAAGGGCAGCCTGCATTCTGGGGCCCTTCACTGCGGGACTCCAGCCACCTCGGACCTCGGACCCCAGTGTCACGTGGGGCCCGGGCCCCTCAGGCGCACAGCACTGTCGGGGCCGCCTGGGACGCGGCGGCGGTCTCCGTGGCCTGCTGGCCACTGGAGGACAGCGAGTGGCCGGAGCCCCGGTGGAAGCGGACACGGCACCGCGGGAAGTGGCCGGCGCGCACGGGCCCACGGGCGGCCCTGGCGCGCAGCGAGCGCTGGCGGTACTCGCGGTAGTTCTTGGTGAGCAGCGTGTAGAGGAAGGGGTTGACGCAGCTGTTGCCGTAGGTGAGGCAGGTGGTCAGGTAGTTGACGATGCGCGCCGTGCGGGGCGTGAGCGGCTGGGCCCCCCGGTACTGGGCGAGGAGCTGCCACAGCCAGAAGGGCAGGAAGCAGGCCCAGAAGAGCAGCACGATGCCCAGGATGAGGTAGAGCACCCTGGGGTTGGGCAGCCGCCGCGTCTGAGCGAAGGAGGCCCGCTGGGACAGCCAGTAGGCCCGCGCCAGGCGCACGTACAGCAGCCCGATGACCACGCCGGGCCCCACGATGCTGGTCCCGAAGAGCAGCGTCAGGTAGGCGCGGTGGGCACGCTGGCCCCAGACCGGCAGGCAGAGGCTCTTGTGGCCCCTGTGGACCAGCCGGATGGCCAGCATCATGGGCAGCGCCAGCAGCAGCGCCAGCAGCCACGTGCCCAGCGCTAGGACCTTGCGGTAGCCCTTGGAGCGCTGCGCCGTGTCCAGCGGCCTCAGCACCGCGGCGTAGCGCTCACTGCTCATGACGGTCAGCGTGAAGATGCTGGCGTGCATGGTCAGGAAGTCCAGGCTGAAGAGGACGCGGCAGCCCACGTCGCCAAAGTGCCACTCCTTGGTGACGTAGGTGGCCACGATGAAGGGGATGCTGAGCAGGTACAGGAGGTCAGCCAGCGCCAGGTTGATGACGTACACGTACATGGAGGCCGAGGCGTGCAGGAAGCGGCACATGACCACCAGCGTGTACGCGTTGCCTGCCACGCCCACCACGCCCATGGCTGAGAGCACTGCCCCGATGGCACCGGTGGCCACCAGGTCCTCCAGGGAGCTGGGCTCCGTCGGGCTGGCCCATGAGCCGTTGGGGGAGGCGTCGGGGGCGCCCGACAGCTCGGGGACGGTGCTGCCCGTCGCAGCCAGCACGGGGAACCCGCTCGCTGGCTCGGGGCTCAGCGCCATCTGTGCCGCCTCACGCTGGGCTTGGTGCTGGGCGTGCTGCTCCTCTGGATGGGGCGGTGGCATCTGCGGGCAACAGAAGAACATGCGCTTTAAAGATCAGCTCAGGGATGCCCGGGGGCCTCAGCGGTGGGGCGTCTGCCTCCAGCCCAGGCTGTGACCCCGGGGTCCGGGATCGAGTCCCACATCGGGCTCCCCGCATGGAGCCTGCTTCTTCCTGTGCCTGTGTCTCTGCCTCTGTCTGTGTCTCTCAAGAATAAATAAATAAATAAAAATTTTAAAAGATTTTATTTATTTATTCATGAGAATATACAGAGAGGAGAGAGAGACAAGCAGAGACACAGGCAGAGGGAGAAGCAGGCTCCATGCTGGAGCCCGAAGTGGGACTCGATCCTGGGTCCCCAGGATCACGCCCTGGGCTGAAGGCAGCGCTAAACTGCTGAGCCACCCTGGCTACCCTAAAATATTTTTTAAAAAAATAAAAAATAAATAAGGATCAGCTCAGACACCCCCTCCCACTCCCAGGAGGCTGTGTGAGGGCACAGTCCCAACTGGGCTGGGGGACCTGCAGAGGGCCATACTGACCCCAGCGTCCTTTCTCCCAATTATTTCTTCTGCATGTTAAAAAAAAAAAGTGCGTGTTTTTTTTTTTAAGATTTTATTTATTTATTCATGAGAGACAGAGAGAGAGAAAGAGACAGAGGCAGAGACACAGGCCGAGGGAGAAGCAGGCTCCATGCAGGGAGCCCGACGCGGGACTCAATCCCAGGCCTCCAGGATCACACCCTGGGCTGAAGGCAGCGCTAAACCGCTGAGCCACCCGGGCTGCACAAATGTTTTGTTTAGACTGCAGAAGTAATATCCACCGATTTTTAAAATTCAAATAGAAAAAAAAGTGTGGTGAAAAAGGGAAAGTGTAATCTCTCTCTATTCACATGGGGACACAAGCCTTGGCCGTGCCATACACAAAAACAATTTGAGGTGGACTGTGGATCTGCATATAATAAGGTTAAATCAATCCATCAGTCAAGCTTCCGGAAGAAACACAGAATACCTGCAAGACCACGAACAGGCAAAGGTTTCTCACAAAAGAACAGGAAACGCTTGCCAAAAAGGTAAAGGCCAAACAGACTTTGTTAAAATTAGGGGCCTCGCAGGGAGAGTAAAAATGTAAATCACGCCCCGGGGAAAAGATTACTGGAGGACAAAGAACTGGTAACCAAAATATAGGAAAGAGCAGTACATTAACTCAGTCTAACCACTTGTGGGCGGGGAGACCTGGACAGAACTTCTCAAAACAGGAGATCCGAAGGTCTGAGCGGCGCACCGAGAGCAGCTCGGATCGTTAGTCATCAGGGTCACTAGGTGAAGACCACCGCGGCGGCGGCAGAGCCAGAAGGGCAGATGCCTGTGCCAGGCCCCTGCAGCGGCGGGTGGGAGTGTGACACCGAGCAGCCCCTTCGGAAAGCAGCGTGGCGCCGGCCTCGGTGGGACAGCCCCCTTCCCCGCACGTTCCCGCTGGGCCCCCAAGAGATCGAGTGCGACTGTCCCCGAAGTCAGCAGCCTGAAGGTTGACAGGCAGCCTAGTCCTGGTATCTGGGAGCTGGGACAACCCAAATGTCTGTAAATAGCCGCACGGATAAACAGAGGTCTCCACAAAGACAGGTCACAATGGGAAGTGTCGCTTCAGTCCCTGACTTGGATGATCACGCAGACCGAGGAACCCCGAGGACACCGCCGGGTGGTCCTGGAGACGGGGCTGCCGCCCAGCAGGACAACAGCAGCAGGCGCCTGGTGTCAGAGCAGGGCTTGGGGCGCTGGGGGGCCCTCGGGAGGGGACCAAAGCACGTCCTGACCTGGGTTGAGGTTCCCGGGCACGGACACTGTACTTAGGGTCTGTGCTTCCTGGATGAAGATTATCCTCACAAGTAGGGAAAAAAGCCCCCAAACGTGGGGTACCGAACCACAGAGGAGAGGCGCCTGTGTCCCCCCACCTCCCAGCGTCCAGGGACTCTGACGGCTTCGGGTTTTCTCGCTCTGCACGTCCAGTGTCTGTAGTAACAGGTCCCACCCTGCGGACCCAGCCCGCGTGCAGAGGGGACCCGGCCCAGCCTCCGGTCAGGTGCCCGGCCAGGGGTCCCCTGGGGCTCCCGACGGCTGCGGGCGGGGGGGGGGGGGGTGACCACCAGGGACACGCGGAGCCCCGCGGAGTCCCCTGCCACCTGCGGCTTCCAAGGGGCGAGCGGGACGGCGCCGCGACACCCCAGCGCCCTGACCCCTCGATGCCTGGACACCCCGATGCGCCAACGCCCTGTCACCCCAGGACACTCCCGCCCCAGCCCCGGCCGCCGCACCCGCCACGGCGCCGCGCTCACCGGACTCAGCGGCGTGGGGTCCACCCTGAGCCCCGGGTCGCCGTGCGGTCCCCGAGCGCTGGGCGGGGCGTGGGGGCTCCTGGTCGGCGGAGGGGCGCCCGCCCGCGGTCCCGCCAGGAGGGCTGCGCTCCCCGCTCCCCGCTCCGCGTCGCCGCCGCCACCTGCCCCGCCGCCAGCTGAGAATGCGCGGGGCGGGTATTAATAACCCGGGGCAGAGGGGGCGCTGGAGGGGGCGGCGTGGGGGCGGGGAAGGTGGGGGCGGGAGTGGGGGCGGTGCTGGAGGGGGGCGGCGTGGGGGACGGGGGGAGGAAGGGGCGGGAGTGGGGGCGGGGGAGGGAGGTGGGGGCGGGGGAGGGGGCGGTGCTGGAGGGGGGAGGTGTGAGGGGCAGAGGACGGAGATGTAGGAAGTGGGGGCGGGGGAGGGAGGGGCGGGAGTGGGGGCGGGGAGGGAGGTGGGGCGGGGGAGGGGGCGGTGCTGGAGGGGGGAGGTGTGGGGGGCAGAGGACGGAGAGGTAGGAAGTGGGGGCGGGGGAGGGAGGGGAGGGAGGTGGGGGCGGGGAGGGAGGTGGGGCGGGGGAGGGGGCGGTGCTGGAGGGGGGAGGTGTGAGGGGCAGAGGACGGAGACGTAGGAAGTGGGGGCGGGGGAGGGAGGGGCGGGAGTGGGGGCGGGGAGGGAGGTGGGGCGGGGGAGGGGGCGGTGCTGGAGGGGGGAGGTGTGGGGGGCAGAGGACGGAGAGGTAGGAAGTGGGGGCGGGGGAGGGAGGGGAGGGAGGTGGGGGCGGGGGAGGGAGGGGCGGGAGTGGGGGCGGGGGAGGGAGGTGGGGGCGGGGGAGGGGGAGGTGCTGGAGGGGGGAGGTGTGGGGGGCAGAGGACGGAGACGTAGGAAGTGGGGGCGGGGGAGGGAGGGGCGGGAGAGGGAGGGACGAGAGTGGGGGGGGGGAGGGAGGGGCGGGAGTGGGGGGCGCCGTGGGGGGCGGGGGGGAGGGAGGGGAAGGCGCTAGACAGCTGGGAGGTGGGGGCGGTGCTGGAGGGAGGGGGCGGGGAGCGGGGGTCAGCGGGGGCAGAAAGCCGGCGCTGGACGCCAGGCCTTGGGGCCGCGGGGCCCCGTCGGGGCGCGGGTCGGGGCAGGGCAGGTCGGCGCAGGAGAGTGGGAGCCCCCGGTGCTCTGTCGGGGCAGGATGAGGCACCGTTTCCTGCCTCGTCCCTGAGCGTCGCCCTCCGAGTCCGGGTGCACGTGATGCGGGGGACAGTGGGGGCGACTGAGGGGCGAGGAGCTGGTGCCACTAATGACTCACACTGTGCAACGTCACCATCTCCGGAAGTTTCTTCTCTTCCCAAACTGAAATCCTGTCCCTCAAATCCTCTCCACCCCGCATCTCCTGTCTCTGAGGTGTTGCGCCCCAGGGACCTCGCGCCCCCGCTGTCATACAGACCGTGTCCTTCAGCGTCCGGCTTCTTTCCCTTCAGTGTAACGGCCTCAAGGTTCATCCGCCGTGTGGTTCGCTCTGAATCGCCCCCCTTTTCACCCCCGAATAACATTCTCTCGTGTGTACGTGCCACGCTCCGTCCATCTGTGACCCTCCGGCTGTGCCACCTCTTGGAATGGGACTGTGTCTGGTTTAATGATTTCCTGCTCCTTCTATGGGTGCTATCCTTTCCTTTATCTCTGAGAAGTCCTAACCATCCTTGTCAGGTGTTTTCCAGATGGCTCCATCATTTTCAGGGAGCCGGGCCCCTCTGAGCAGCACTCCCCACTTCTCACTGAGAGATGGAGACCCTTAACCCGCGGGTCATGGTACAGGAGCATCTGTGTCACCCCACCGCATCTCTTGGCCAAGGGGACTCACAGACGCGTCTTATCTCACCTCCATGAGCAGGTGACTCAGTCTGATGGGCCTCGTCATGTTTGGCCTTATCTGCTGCCTTGGTCCACACATCCCCGTAACCCTGGAACCCCACGCATGTCTGGGTCACAGAAGGAAGCCTCCAGGAACACAGCCCTTGGCCAGCTGGTGGGCCTGAGGCCTGAGCCCTGCGCCCTGAGGCCCCACGGCCACAGACTGGGATGTACAAATGACCAAGGACAGTCATCACCAAGCACAGGTCGGCTCCCTGCCCTCCTCTGAGCACCCTTGGACCCATCAGGACGTCCTGCAGAGCCATTGGCCGCACAGTCCACGGCCCTCTCTCCATCCGCACCATGAGGGAAGGGCAAGTGGGCATCCAGTGTGCATGCTGGGGAACCCTACAGACAGTGGGGAAGGGGCTGGGCTGTCCTGAGTGTGGGCAACAGGGGTCAAGCGTGGGGAGAGGGAGGTAGGGAGAGGCCTGGAGATGCTGGTGGCCAGAGACGGCCCCTTGTAGGTGGGGGACACCGAGAACCTTCCTCTTCTACATGGTGACCCTGAGAGCACCTGGGCGTGCACAGAGGGGGGCTTACTGCTCAGTCCAGAGCCGGGGGAGGGCGCGTGGGGCCAGGGCTCCTGCAGGAAACGGGGATTCAGGGGCTGCTTCCGTCCTCAGGGGTTGTGGGGACTCCACCCCTAGAACCTACTGTGTTCCGTGCAGAGTGACTCTGCCGCCTGTGATTCACTTGGTGGACCATTAAATCATAAATTATAATTATAA